ACACGGGATCCAGGTGAAGCAAAAGAAGGGGGATGTGGTTGACGCAAACTAAGCAAGGTTGCGCTTCCTCATTGAAGAACAAGCAGTGCTTGTACCCGTCCCGAGCACACTGTTGCTGGTGAGTAATCCCGGTCACGGCAAGGGCAGAGATGAGATTGATTTCAGAGCTGCTTGTTATTACAGTTGCTAGATCAGGTGCAGATTAGTAAATCAGCAGTTAAATACCGTCCATAACTGTCTGCTGGTGACGTCCACTTGTAATCTGCCTGCGGAGGTTGTTTATCACACTCATCAAGCCTGGAGGGAATATTGTCAAGGCCTCTAATGTGCTGTAAATTGAGATTCATGTGTACTTGAAGACAGAATTGTTAACATAATTTCCTTTGTATGCCTCATTTACTTATTATGTTTTGTGTGCTTCATGTAAAGACTGTGCTAAACATTTGGCTTGAAAGCTCTAGATAGTGACGTAATCTTGTGACGTTAGACTGGTTATTTGTAGATGGGCAGCTTCTTTCATCATTGCTGCCATGAGAAGTTTCCTGTTAGGTGACGTCAATGCAAATGTACATCGTTCTGCCCCAATACATGTTTTTTCATTGAAAAAAACCCTGTTTTTCTTTCAGTGCTCGGAGCTTGTGGTTGAAATCTCATTTAGTCTACGTTCTATAGTGCTATTTTGCATACTGCCTAGGATCTCTGCTCACAATGCAGCTTAGTGGCCCTATTGTGGTTGGTTAGGGCCTGACAGAGTTATTTGCCTATGCTAGCAGACTTTTCAACAGTAAAGAGTTGATGGGAAATTCCAGTAAATTGCATAGCTGACCTTAGTGTAGAGGTCTGTGTGCTCATCCTGAGGTCATGTCTTCCTCCCTCTGTTGACCTTTGTCTAATAATACGCGAGCTGTTGCTTGCTGTTAGACCTCTCTGGAATGGACACATTTTCTACCAACTAGTTCCATACTAAACAAATGCAAATATATAAATAGGTTTAAAAGTTTGGCATCAATGTTTTTTTGTGTGTGTGTGTTTGTGTGTGTGTGTGTGTGTAAAAATTTTTTATATATTTTTTTAAGGCAGGAAGCATTAAATTGATAAAAAGTGATGTTACAAAAAATTATGTTTAAAATAAATGCGGTTCTTTTGAACTTTCTCTTCATCAAAGAATTCCGAAAAAGATGTCACATTTTCATTGATAATAAGAAATGTTAATTGAGCAGCAAATCAGCATATTAGAATGATTTCTGAAGGATCATGTGGAGTAGTGGAATAATGATGCTGAAAATGATTTGAAATCGTAATATTTCACAATATTACAGTTTTACTGTATTTTAATCAAATAAATGCAGACGTAGTGAGCTAAAAAGTCTTCTTTCAAAATCATTCAAAATTTCCCCAATCTCAAACTTTTGTATGTTTTTAGCTTAATTTTATTTTTAAATAAAAAATAAAAAATAGTAATACGAAATATCAAGGTTTATACCCACACATATTTTTAAATTGTACCTTTCTTAAAAGTACTGCCACTACTACTACTACTACTACTACTAATTATTATTTAAGGTAATAAATCAAGGCATAGTGCATCATGACATGACATTCTTTACTCGGGAATTAAGAACTTTACATGTGCAATTATTATTGGAGTGTATATCTATGATGTAGGCCTACATAATTAGCATTTTTAATTAATCCCCTCAATAATCGTCGACAGATTGTAGGATTACAAATTTATTCAAATGTTTAATTTAGATTTATAGTATATAAACTGAGGAAGTTTATTAGTGTGAATTTTGTAACTAGGTAAATGTCACAAACCTGCCTTTTCCTGTCTGTCCAGAGCTCTCTATTGTAAGTTAAATGAGTCAGATTACTGAAACTCTCACCCTTTGTTCTAATGGCTCTCGGAGCCACTGTCCCAGTCATTGAATAGTCCTGCTGATTGGATTAGAATATTTACATTTGAATCACCCTGTTATGCTGATGAGATCAGGGCTGGGGAATTTCCGGTAACGAGCCGACTTCTGTACTTTCATTTACATGTTTTGTTCAAGAGTCCCCTCCTCTATGTAACCCCTCCCCCTTGTAAGGTATATGAACACAAAGTATTTTGCCCTTAGTTAGACATGGCTAAGATTTTTGAACGAAGCAGACTACAGCGATGCAACAGCAATAAAGAATCCTGCTTAGAAAAGATACACCGAGTCTCCTGGTCTTCGCTTCTGAGTTTCCTACACTTTAGAAGAAATAAGTTCCCAACAAGATCAAGCAAATTTGTTTGTGTTGTTTCTTCACTCTTTGGGAATAATAACTCACTTTAGCGGAGCAAGTGGCAAATTTAGGTTTGAGTTCACAGTAACAAATTCTGCATTTTGCTTGTATCCTTTTATGCATTAAGGAAAATATTAAAATTTATTTTAACTGTAATGAAAGCCCTTGTTTCTCCCTAGCACCTTTATTTTCATTTCAGCTGGGGTGCGAGAGGAACTATCATAGCCTGTGGTCTTCAAATATTGTCTTTGGTAATGGGAGACTCACTGGAGTTTCAAAGGTTGAGAACCACTACTAAAGAGACTGCTCTATATGAATCGCTAGAAGCTTCATAATTTCTTACAAAGAAGTAATCTAAAAGTATGGTAATATCTTTCTTTCTTTAATATATACATAAATGATTGCCAAATTCATATATTATGGTATTTACGAGTTACACAAAGCCATTCAAAAAACGGTAACGCTTCCTTTTACAGTCCTGTTACCCATGTACTTACTATGTACTTACTTATTATAGTAATTATAATTACTGGGTAATAACTAGGTACTAACCCTGAACCTACCCCTAACCCTTGTACTTACCTTATATTAGCCAGTACTTTCTAGGTAAGTACACTGTAAGTACGTACTGTACTGTAAAAGGAAGCGTTACCCAAAATACCATATCCCCAAAAAATCATGGTCATACTTTGGAAATTTCTTCCTCCTGTTAGGATGTACTACATGTGTCATTTCTGCTGATGTGTATGTGGAACGAATGAGAGCTGAAGCGAACGTTCACCCATGCATCAGTACCTCGGCACACAATCAGCGCTGTATAATTGGCCCTGGTTTTCAAACACTCAGTGGCCTCGTTTTCGGTTTATGGGGCATGCTGAGTCTGACAGCAGAAAGCTATAATTGCAGTGATGTAATCCATCTGAAGGTACAAAGGGGCCCATTCTCATCTGGCATCTCTCGAGGGAGCCGTCGGTACAGTGTTGCCATGGCAGAGCCGCCTGGGAGTGTCTGGAAAGCCAATTTGCTACTTCTTCGGTGCTTAAAATTATTACATAATATGCTTTATGGCTCATAAGGAACATCTTTCGTGGTCATCCCGCTCTTCTTCCTCAATTTGTGTGGGCTGTAATGGCCAAAGGGAGTGCGATGACAGTGGGGGAGGGCGTGCGATTATGCATTCAGTGCCATTTCCTACTGTGATTACTGGATGCTTGACCCTTCCCATGCCGTTTGTGTTAACATGCAGCGCTCTGGTGCTCAGTGCATTAGTTAACAGATCCCACAACCAAGGCCTGCACAAACCTCTAGTGGCCTGGCCAAACGCTCTGCCGGCAGAGCAGGTTTTTAATATATTCCTGGACAGGGGGGATCTGTCAGATAGGGCTAACAAAAGCTGAAGGTGGCCTGCAGCATCAACAGTGAACGATCACATTACTGTCGCAAATGGGAGCTGTAGCCTGTGGCGGCTGCTGAGGGTTGTGTTTCAGTGATGGTGATTATCAGGGATACTCAACGATAAAGTCAAAGGGCTTAAAACACAGTTGTTTAAAATGTTATATGAATAATTAACATCTATCATTTCTGCACATAATGCCTTGCATTTTAAATGAATACAGGAGTGAGAGATGCAGTGGAGCTTGAATACAGAATATTATAGCTGTATATATTTAGATGCAGGAGAAGAAAATACAGGCTTTACATCTCATGTTTCAATAGTAAAGTATTAACTAATTGCTGATCTGAGTCATTCAGTGTTGGGTTGTCAAGTGGTTCCCTCAGGCTCTTACATCCACTGCTGTGTACACTAGAGACATTTAGTTACCTTAGATCTGTGTCAATATCACAGGCCAGCTATCACAGGGAATTGGATTATTTTTGTAACAGTGGAAAACTCTCAAAAGGAAGGGTATTGGGTATCTGTTTTGTGATGAATCACACCACATCGTCTTAGTGATAGCTTTATGGACCAAAAGCTAGATAAATCTTGGAAAAAATAATGGCATCTGAAAAATGTATTTTTTACTTTATTTTGCGTGTTCTATTTATGGGCCAATGAACCGCACTCAAAATACAAGTGTAGGGATGCGGAGAGAGAGTCTTTGACCATAACTGTTCAAAGGTGTACTAAAATAACTATTGGTCGGCACTTCCTGCAGACTGGGGTGATCCAAAAAACGTAATCCAAAAAACTCTCACAGTGGTGAGTTAACTTTTTTCAGGTGTGGGTAGTATATTTAGCTTTCATCTCCTCCTTTTATCACACAATTTTGTGCAGCAGTAATAGCTACACACTGCTTTGTCTTTTTTTTTAACGTTTCATGATGGGTGAAAACACAACTCTTAATCCCATCGGCAGAGGGTGTACCGCCATGTTGGAGTGTCAACCAGAAAGTTTCTGGCGCTTGATTATTTACGATACTTTCGTATGTGTAGGATTAACATTAACATGATGAATATATTTTTTTATTTTTTATATTACATCATCAATACTTGTATATTGCGACACCACTAGTCATAATATAACCCTATCACTGGTCTGCACTTCACAGAAATACATTTTTCAAGGATGTCACTCTGTCCTCGGTAGACTTGTGTGCTATTTGCACTATTTATGTTTTCGGTTCATGTACACGCAGACAATCGTCATGTTTTTTTTTTTAAGGAAATACTCCTAGAGAACATATTTCAGTTTTAAAAAGTAAAGCTTCTCGCACTTTCTGCCTTCCCAGTGTCCCACCGTCAGCATGTCCTCAGAAGCGTCATCTCCTGTGAAGTCCACCACCCCTCCTCTGTCCCCGCTGTCCCCGGTGTCCCCCAGCTCTCTTCGTCTGCCTGCATGTCGCAACAGAGACCGGTCGCCCTCCCCCATGAGGGGCTACCTGATTCCCAGTCCCCTGCCCACCCGCCGCAACCGCACCTGCTCAGCGTGAGTACAGCACCACATCATCTACAGACCCATCCACTGTTTTAACCTGTATGTATGTACCTATACTAGTTTAGCCTAATTCTGCTCTCTGTCCTGCAGAGTTTAGCTCCTCCAACCCCAATTAAACACACCTGAACCAGCTAATCAAGCTCTTACTAGGCATAGAGACTTCCAGGCAGGTGTGTTGAGGCAAGTTGGGAGTTAAACTCTACAGGACAGTGGCCCTTCAGGACTGAGTTTGGACACTCCTGCTTTATACACACATATCAAAAGTTTCGGGTTAGTAAGAATATTATTATTATTTTTACTTTTTGAAGGATGTCTCTAATGCTCACCAAATAAAAACAGTTATATTGAAAAAAATTCTATTTGAAAAGTTCATTTGTTTCTGTAATGACAAAGCTGAATTTTCAACATCATTACTCCAGTCTTCAGTGTCACATGATCCTTCAGAATATAATGATTTGCTGCTCAAGAAATATATGCATTATTATCAATGTTGAAAACGTGATCGATTTCTTTCAGGATTCTTTGATTTATAGAAATGGTCATTTTTGCTGATTAAGTATAGAGTAATATTTTTGTCCCTTTACCCCGACAGTCAAGCGCGTGCAGCTGAGGGCCCGGTCTTCAGTGGGGTCTGCAAGTGCTTTTCACGTTCCAAAGGACACGGTTTCATCACGCCATCAGACGGAGGCAATGACATCTTTGTGCACATATCTGAGTGAGTTCACTGGGAAAACATCTTCAGCCGAGTCCTTCGTCAAAGCCAACACACATTCCACCACAAACCCAGTTAAATCTGAAATCACATGTATCGACAACACCATGATTATCAGTGACGTAGATGCAATCACAAATCATCATTAATATGCAGCCCAACTTAGAGTTCATAAATGTTAGCGCTCCCAGTGTGTTTGTAGATGTATTTGAACTGATCATGAGGGAGGGGCTTCTGGGAATAGAAACTTGTGGAGTGTGTGAAAGGTTTTGGCGTCAGGTCTAAGTTAAGTACTTGAGTATGAGAGATAAGAGCGCTTGACTGGCTTCTTTCAGATAAAATGTGTTTGACCACTGAAAAAATGGATAGACTTGCCAGCTGTTCAAACATTCAGTACATCAAATTATTTTATGATTCACAGAATGAGCATTTGCACCCTTTTGTAATTTTCTTATTCTCAAGACTTGTTTGTTTAATGTTCAACTACATAAAATTACATTCTGTCAGGTAACTTAAAAATTATAGTGATTTATAATTATATAAGAATTCTCATTTGTAAAATGGGATCCATTTTGTTTGTCCAATTTGACTTGCTCGTCGTTTTGTTTTCCATTTGATGCACTTTTTAAACACGTGTCCTGCAAGTCCTATAAGCACACACACACACACACACACGTTTTGCTGATGATCTCCATTCTTCCAACAGCATCGAGGGTGAATATGTGCCTGTGGAAGGAGATGAAGTGAGCTACAAGATCTGCTCTATTCCACCCAAACATGCAAAGATCCAGGCCGTTGAGGTGACCATCACTCATTTAGCACCAGGCACGAAACATGAGACCTGGTCAGGAGCAGTGTTTGAATCATGAGGTCCTTGAGAACAGCAGCTCTCTGAATCTGAACTCTTACATAATGATGTCGAAAAGGGTTTCTGTTTCTTTTCTGGAGGTTTGGGGGAAAGGGAACAGGGCTGAATGAATGAATGCCTTTAAGTGCTGTGTGTGACATGACAGCAAATTTCCACAAAAAAAAAAAAAAAAAAAAAAACCTTGCTGCTTTTTTTCTTTATTTGGGTTCAGGAAGGGAGTTTGTTTGAAATGATCTTGATTATTTGGTTTGTTTAATTATGTGGCATGAACCATAATCAGTTATACTTGCATTAACCATCTGTGAATTGCAGACTGATTTGATTACTCATGAGAACTGATTACACACTCTTAACAGGAAGCCTTAACACATATCTAATATGTAGATTTCCCTTTTTTTTTTATTCGCTGAAAAAAAAAACATGTTCACTGTGTATGTGTACATTCATTGTGATTAATAAATCATTTTGATCATTTCTCATGTACATGTGTGTTTCTTGGTCATTTTGCTTCAAAGACAGGCAAGAATGAAAAATTATTCAAATTGTCATATTTATTTTATAACTTCCTCAGACAACATTAAGGTTTTATGTAGAAATTACCTCAATATTTTTATCTAATTTTACTACATATAACAGTGTAAACCAGTTTTATTTTTTTAATTAATATGAGTATCAATACACATTTCTCTATTAAATACTGACTTTGCCGAGTACAAACAGACACAGCTTTTACATTGAGTCACTGCCGCCACCTGTCCACAACATTAAAAGGAACATTTAATAGGCATCCAAAACAACATTTCTACATTACACTGACATGGGACACATTATCACAAAGGAATAACACGAAGTGTGTTAAAGAGGGTGTGATTTTATACATATCAATAAATGTCAGTTAAATAAGGAACTTAATTCTGATGCAGCTGTAAACAACATGGAAACGTAGTTAGACTTCACTAATAAAGCTTACACAATGAGCATTGCATAATCTCACTACATTAAGTACATATTGGGATTTAAGTATTTAAAAAGGAAAGGACGATTGAAACACCAAGCTGAAGGGATGATCACTCTTTCAGCTTGGAGCAACTGGAACAGGAGAATCACCCCAAAGATGATAAACATATACAGGCTGTGATGGCCATTAAGTGAAGATGACCTTGTAGACGTTATCCATAGCTTTTCTTACATGGCCTGTGATGAGGAACATGAGGGGATCATGTTCACCTGAGCAGAGGATGGACGCTAAGCTGAGCGGCCCCAAGCTTGTGCTTTTAAAACATGCTTCATGATGGATTTCTATTGTTAGATCAGGTAGAAGTTTGGCTGTGAAAATTATCAGCCCTCACATTACCACACCAGGTTGTGCTTTAAATGTTTCGTGCTGGCAACATTCTGTTCATATCTCACAACTCAAATCAGAGGCTTTGCATCACAGTAAAACTCTTTATGATTGAGGAATTATACAGTAAAGCAAGTCAATAAAGGGACTTTCTGATTCCTTGAAGCTTATTGGCTCAAGAGACGTCCTGTAAAAATGGGAATAGAGGTTCTCTGCAGCTTCTCACTTTTTCCAGCTTTCTATCGGCTCTATCCAGCTCCTTAAAACGCAATCAGTCCAACGATGCTTCCACGACTTGTCTTTCACACATGCTTTTAATTCAGAGAGGACCATAATATTCAGGTGCTCTGTAAATTCAATCTGTCATCATGAAAAAATTACAACCTAGACATTTCCAGTGCAACCATTTCTTTGTAGATGTTATATTTTATCTTCATAAAGCCAGTAGTAGCTACTTTCATGTAGTTTTAGTGTCATACATAGTGACTACTCATCTTTTCATGTTAACTTCCAGATGCTTAGACCTGGACTCTTTCTCTTTGACAAAAAGGGTTATAAGAATTATTGCAAATAAGAAATCCTGTAGCATCTCTGAGGTCTCTATATTGCTTTATTTAACTAACTTTCAATGGAAGGACTTTCTGGTCCTGAATGACCCCACAGTTCACAAACTAAGTTGCGACATTAGCAAGAGAGATTTACTTTAATTTATAATTTGAGTGAATGACCCTGAATTGGAGGCATTACTACTGGGATAATTCCTGTATACTGCTTCAGATCTTCAATCTGTCCACCCATGGTAAAAAAAAAGAAAAAAAAGAAGAAGACAAGATCAGCTAAATAAAAAGAGATAGAAAACAGATTTTTATCCTTCCTAATTAGAAATGACAGGATGAGACTGGACGGAAAGAGAGAGAGACGGTGATCAATTAATTGTGACAGGCTGGTATAAACCGAGTGGGATTGGACCCTATACGTTTCATAATCAAGGCCGACCTGGCAGCCAGAACTCTATTTATGCTCAGTCAGAACGTCATTCAGGATGTTCAGGAGCTGATGGACATGGTACTCCTTGAAGACCAGAGAGGGACGGAAACGGATGGACTTTTCGCCACAGGAACCCAAAAACGCACCTGGTGAAATAAACAGAAGTTTTTATTTTATTTTAGAGAACATAGTATCCCATAAAGCCTCTGCATCTTGTACGGACAGGGTCTAAAATTAACACTATTTGTTACTACTATTAATATTATGCCTATACCACTAACATAATTATTGCAAATTGCATATTATATAATTACCTGACAATGACCTGAGCTTTGTCACTAGCTATGTTTCCATCCAAAATTGCAAATTTAACTTTTGCGCAAAAATCGCTTAAAACATTTGCGAATAAAGCAGCATTTCCATCCCATGCGTTCAAGAGAACAAAATCATCACATCCAGGGAAATTGGCGCTAAATATCTGTAATAAAAATGGAAGTTGCTGCAATTTGGGAAGCTGTGGCTTTTCCCCCCTACATTGTAAATGAACTGCATCTCAGAGCACACAGATGAAACACAATAACTAATTTATGAATAAATGATAAAATAATCCAATTGTCATAAGAACAAAAAACATAGATTTTAAACCTTGTGTGTGATGAGTAAGGGGGCCACAGCTTACCTTTGTTCCTGGCCTTCATCATGATACTGTTGCGCGTGGCATCATCGCAGGCGTCTATGGCACAGAATGTACCCTGGCCACGGGCTCTACTCAGGATATGAGGGTACTGGGTCTACGTGAAGAGAAGCAGCGAGACATTAAAAATTAATACACAGACGGCTCACAATGTGGACAGTATCATAAATCCACAGCTTCAAAACAAGCACTCATTACGCTGCTAAGATCGATTACAGGCTCAGGTTTTCTCTCCGGCAGCAGGAGTTATGAGGCCGGCCCTCAGATAAGCAATGAACGTCATAATAGAACCATTAACAGTTTTAAAGTCTTTCGTGATGAGCTGTGGCGTCTGTGAGGAATCAGTCATGTAAGGATATAAATGAAGATGACTGTACCTGCAGTGCATAAAGGCCCTGCAAAAGAGCCTTCCCTGAGCGCGTCACCTCCTCCAGAAGGTTCTCTCTTCTGATCACGTTAAGCACCTCTGATAAGAACAGATTCTTTGAGGGGTCTCCCATCCAGGTGTTGAAGATTCTGTAGGGCTGAGGTGCATACAGACAGTCATGTCAGTTTAAATGGTTCATACACTCAAGTCTTCTTTAAGACGTCATGCAACCAAAAATCTATTTTGAGGGTATTCATCGGCAAATATACTCTTAAAAGTTTTTTTTTTTTTTCTCCAGGGAATAAACAAAACAAAAAGGCTATTTGATATTTGAATAGAAGGGATGAACCCTTCAGTATGTCCCGCCTCAAATTCTGGTTTTAATGCATCAACACAAGAGATAAATCATGTCAAGCAATTTTAAGTAGACCAAAAACTAAAGTATTTTGAAGTAATAATAATACATGTATTATTAAATAAATATAAGAAATTATTTTCACCATTTAAATTGCACAGATATAATTATTATAGTAACAACAATTATTACTAAAAATTATTAATACTCTCATCTCTCCCTATGTGCACTGGTCACTTCAATTTTTTCGGGACAATTTCGGTTTCACATTGCACTGTCTCTGTTTGTACTGTTTTTGCCCTAAATGTCTCTCTTGATCAATGTCTAAAGTTTTTATGTAAAGTATTTATGAAAAGTATATGTTTATATACAGTAGGTTACATAGTTATAACCTATATAAACATATAACCTTACATATATGTACATTTTTTGAAGTTTTGTTGTGGCTTAGAATGTAGATAAAACTGCACCATTGGAGGTGACTTTACAGAAAGAAACAGTAGGGGGCATGATAGCTCAGTTCCATACAGCTATGAATCTCATCCAAGGACACGCGATCATTTAGACAAAGACTGCGAAACTGACAGAACAATCATCTGATACTAAAACACATTACAACTCCATTCATAAACAATGACTTATTAATTGTTCCCAGTTGGCTGCTTTATCGTTTTTGTTTATAAGAATGGGATTGACGATTTTGCATGAGGGTACATTTGGTGAAACGATGACAGCCCTTACTTTGTCTGCTTGCAGTTCATCCTTGTGGTAGTATCCTCCTGTCAGCATCTTCTTGCTGAAGGAAACAACATCAGCAGGGTCGTCCAGACCCCAATGCTCATGGGCCCAGAACTTGCCTGTTGCTCCTCCACCTGTCTGCACCTCATCCACGTGGAAAGCACAGCCATGCTGAAAGATCCAGACACAGATAAACATCTGTTAGCTCACTCTCTGTCAAAACCCATCTTGACAGCCTGCATAAAACTGCATACAACACCCGCTGGACACAGCTGTTGCGCTTTGCTACACTTCATTTGAAGAGAACACTTCCCAAGTTTTTCAGGGAGAGCGTGGACTTCATCACAATTACTTAAAGGGGCTCTTTTCTCTGCATAAAGCAGCCTTATTAAATCATTCCCTTTTGTGTTCTGCCTTATCTCGTTCATAAGGACTCAATTTAGAGCAGATAAAAAGAACTTCGCACAGAGTGGTGAGTGCCTTTTTTATTAGTGTTCAAAGAGTCTCATTTTAGCTATTTATAACTGGAGTGTCTATCTGAAACGACTTCAAAGCACAGATTCAGTAAGAAAGGATGACTATGGAGGAAAGCTAAGCATTTTACATTCATTTGGCAGACGCTTTTATCCAAAGCGACTTACATTGCATTTCAAGGTACACATTTTTACAATCTTATCAGTTCTTGCGTTCACTGGGAATCGAACCCATGACCTTGGCGTTGCAAGCACCAACACTCTACACTTTAAGCTACAGGAAAGCTATTTTAGAACAGGAAAAAACGTTTCACCTTGCGTGCAATATTTCGCAACTTGATGAAGAAGTCAGGTGAGGCGTGGTTGTCCCCTCCCTCTGCCTGGATGGGCTCGATAACAATGCCAGCAACTGGTTTACCCTTCTGCCTCCACTTCACGATGAGATCCTCAACCTGACACACAGAACAGTTTCAAACTTATTCAATGCTAGGTATTTCTGCAATATTCCTGGTTCAACACAAGTTAAGTTGAAAGGATTAAGCATCATGTTGATTAACAAAAAATATGTGTATATATATTTTGACTCGTCCCTCATTTTCTTAAAGAAACGCAAAAGGCAAGGTAATGATGAGACACTAACAATAGAAGTAAATGGGGCCCATTCTTGAAGGATTTAAAAGCAGAAGCTTAGAATTTGATAAAATCACTTACATTACTTAAAACGTGTCATCACATTTACCATTGCTCTGTGAAATGTTACTGTGTGAAATCCAATTATTTCAATTGGAATCCATTTAATCAGGAATTTCTAGGAATTTTGCAGGGCGAAACATTTCACCTCGCAGATTTCGCATCGGGTTTAAGTTTTTCACCGTATTGACAAACAGCTTCTTGGTTGAAAGCGACTTCTGTGTGAGCGGTGCATTGTGCATTACTACACTATTGGCAGTGGACAATGCAGCTTTCTGTCGGTCAACAAGGCGATTTTGCGTGAAAAACTTGGATATCTGCTTTGGAGAAATGCTTTGACTTGTGCAAAATTCCCAATCACATATATATTCCTATTGAAATGACTGAAAATCACCCACAAAATTTTGCTGAACAACCAAAACATAAAGCTGTTACAATACTCATTTATATAGTTGCTTTATGGGTTTAGGGTTTACAGTGATCTGTTTTCATGCTGACAAACCTGTAAAATGGGATATAACTTAACACAACATTAAAATCATGTTAACATTGTTGTTTGTGTCTTGTGGTGATACTATTGAAATTGCGAGTATTTTAAAATGTATGGATTGGCCCCAATCACTTCTATTGTAGGTACCTTTTTTTGAAGAACAGGTGGGAAACCCACAACTGCTGTTGATTGAGCTTAACTTGTACTGAACCCACAATATTATTTTAATTAGTGTGGAATTTTTTTTTTCTGTGGACACATGAAGGAGAGATCTCGGACCTCCTCCAGGCAGCGGGCCTCTTCCTGAGCGTTCTCCCGTGCAAACTCCTCCAAAGGATACTGGAGCTTAGGGAAGGGTGCGATAGGCCAGTCAAATGCCGGTATATCCAACTTGTGAATGGCTTTGGAATGTGTTGTGGCCAGGCAACCTGTAATCCAACATCACACACATTAGGGGATGGATGTCCCAGTTAAAACAAAACAGCCAGGCGTCTTTGTTGGTCAAATGAAGTCATATGATACAAATAGCTGCAAAGGCAAACAAATGTAAGGCAAATACATGCAGGCCAGGTCCCTGAATCTGCTCAAAGTGTACTGACCTGAATCAGACACATCTTTCAATTATGTTCTCATAAATCAACAGACAATTTTCAAGCACTTACCCAGAGTTCTCCCATGGAAAGCTCCCATAAAAGACAAGATGCTCAAATCTGGGCATCCAGGACTCTGAGAGAGGAAAGAGAATAGTGTGTGTAAAAAGAACATTTAGATTTCAGGAGCCACAGTCATATGCATAATGTGTGTCTTTCACAGTGTCTATTCTCTAACCTGGTTGATCATGCACGAGTCGATTTCCTCCGCAGATGGGTTGGTGTCTCCTCTCTCCTTATTCTAGAAACCATTAAAAAAAGTATTAGATATCAGATGATTTAAGAGCTGTTCATGTGTATAGAGTAGGGATGCCAACATATGTACGTAGGTACATACATACATGATGCAAGCAACATGAATATACATTCCATACAATGAACACAACCACTGTCCAAGAGTCCATTTTAAGAGCCCAGTTAATATGGAATTTACATAACAGTCAGGAATGTGTTTTTTTGTGTAATTATATCATATTTTCTTATGATTACCTCTCACCTGTATCATTTGACAGCCCTAATATAAAGTAATCTGAATTAAATCAGTATCTCTAACAGATTTAAGCTTTCAAGCTTCTGTTATACCTTTGCAAGCTATAATACCAATAAAATCAAAAATCATAATACTTATTATAAAAAAATATATAGTGATATAAAGTGATTTTTTTCCTCCAACAGTTTCAGAAAGACTTCTTCTGGGTATCATTATTGCCAAAATACAACCAATATCACACCTATATAAAGCAAATTTGTTTGTTTGGACTTTGTGTGAGTCGAGCAGGAGAAAACTGAGGAAAGTCCACTCACTCTGTAGCAGATAAACATGCTCTTGAAAGCATTCTCATTGGAGCAGGAACCACAGGCCATGGTTTGTACTCTCGTCATTCCGCTGGGGGCAATCTGATGTTGAAGAAAGAGTCATTCACAGCACTCCGCACTGGCACCTCTACAATAAACAGCAAGCCACTTGCGGCCAATGTGAAAAAGAGCGCAATCATTTATTAGGTTCATAGTGATATCTGCAAACATATTACTCACAGTCCTTACTCTCTACTTGTGAGCATTGTCAGCAATAATTTCTGAGACATATGCTATTATTAGCTTTGTGGAAACATTCATCTTTCAAGAAATACTTCACCTGTGTTTCTTCAAACCCAACAACACTCACCGTCAGCAGGCTCTCGACCAGTTTGTCTGGAAAGTTCTCAGGTGGCAGAATACCAAGTGCCGGCCGGTTGACAAATGCACTCTGAAAACAAAAATTCACACAAAATTTGAAAAAGTAAATATTAAGTGTGTATATGCTACTATTCATAAATGTATACAACTTGTGGACACTTTGAATTTTAATTGTCAAATTTGCTACCATTCACGTTACACCATTACAGGAATAAATCACTTTTAAAAATATTCAAATCAAAATCAGTTATTTTAAATTGTAAAGATGTTTCACAATATTACTGTTTACTGTACTCAAATTTACTGTATTTTTTATAATTAAAAAAAGCAGCCTTGGTGAACAACATGAGACTTCTTTCAAAACATTACAAAAATCGTACAGACCCCAAACCCAATAACAGTAGTGTATATCTGCTAAAAGTGAATTATAAAATAAATGAATTTGGGTTTTAATGGGAAAACTTAAGTGAAGCAGTGCTACTGAAAAGCAGCTCTGTGCATCACACCTTTAAAACTCTCATCTCGTTCCACTCATGCTGCACTGTTTGACTGTACAATGGAAATTAGATTTGCAGTGATCTATCTATAAAGACACACACACACACTTCATAGTCTGATCAGGACTCACCACATTATTTGGATTGGTCATCACTTTCATTAAGGCTGGATGATTGTAACCTAGAAAAGAAGTGTCAATCTATTCATTATACATGCATTGAGATATCTGAAGATTTGAGACAGTGAAAACACACCAAAACAAACAGCAATTGAATTGAATGATCACATTTTGTCACAATTGGAGCTGAAGGCAACTAAATGTATTTGCAAGCTAGTGAGTTGAGGTGGATAGTTGATATAGTCGCTCTCTACGACTACAGCTGCAGTGAGAACAACTCTCTGATACTACTACTCTTACACAAATAACCCAAAAATATTAGGACACTTAAGCCACAATTAAATATGTATGAATGTCATTGCAATAAACAGAAATATCAAACTAAGTGGAAAATAATGCTAGAGCTTTTCTTGGTCCCAAAGTCATTAGTAGTGTAGATGCATAAAGTCGATTCCCCTCAAGAAAATGTTAAAAATGTCTTTATTTTGAACAGCACATCTACCGTCTATGATTTACAAGCTAACAAACTTAATTTTGTGAAATGTTTGAGAAGTAACTTAAATAATGGTGTAATATTTTTTGCATAATGACATTTATTTAGTTAAGTGACTTTTTGAGGTCTCTGACTCTGTGCACCTTGATGAGACAAACTGTATGTAGAGATAGAGACAATTCATTGAGATTAATCAACAGATTAATAATAATAAAGTAACAGAATTTACTATAAGTTTCTTGAATAAAAAATCAGTTATGGTAGAGTGAGCCTGTAAATTCACTGTAAATTCTTTTTTCTTACAACTTCGCAACTTCAAATTTAGCAGTTAGGGCTGATCCCAAAAAAAAAGGGATGAACTGATCTTTTATGTCTGCAGTACAAGACATGCCCAGAACAAATTGAACAAACGTCAAGTTTCGCATGAACATGTGCCCTGCCCCTGTCCTAAATGTAAGCACAAACAATTTTCAGTGTGTTTTCCTTTGTTTTTCAAAGTTGACATTACATAAAATTGTGCATAGCAATTCCAGCAGAGAGCTCTTGCACATAGTAAAGCTAAAATTGACAAACCAGTATCGTGATATTCAGCATGTCTGCATATAAAAAGAAGAATGAATTGTATTTCTTCTTTTTTATCAACATATCTCTTAAATGAAGCATCTTTAAAGGCATTGTTAAGGAATTTTTTTAATTAATCATAACTAACATTTCTTTTTCTTGCAGGATTAACATTTATATGCGTTTGAACACTAAATGTCCAAAAGTGTGTCTGAATATAACAAAAGAGGAGACAAAATAAAAAAATATATATATTATATATAAATATGTATATATATATATATATATACACTCACCGGCCACTTTATTAGGTACACCTGTCCAACTGCTCGTTAACACTTAATTTCTAAGCAGCCAATCACATGGCGGCAACTCAGTGCATTTAGGCGTGTAGACATGGTCAAGACAATCTCCTGCAGTTCAAACCGAACATCAGTATGGGGAAGAAAGGTGATTTGAGTGACTTTGAACGTGGCATGATTGTTGGTGCCAGAAGGGCTGGTCTGAGTATTTCAGAAACTGCTAATCTACTGGGATTTTCACGCACAACCATCTCTAGGGTTTACAGAGAATGGTCCGAAAAAGAAAAAACATCCAGTGAGCGGCAGTTCTGTGGGCGGAAATGCCTTGTTGATGCCAGAGGTCAGAGGAGAATGGCCAGACTGGTTCGAGCTGATAGAAGGGCAACAGTGACTGAAATAACCACTCGTTACAACCGAGGTATGCAGCAAAGCATTTGTGAAGCCACAACACGCACAACCTTGAGGCGGATGGGCTACAACAGCAGAAGACTCCACCGGGTACCACTCATCTCCACTACAAATAGGAAAAAGAGGCTACAATTTGCAAGAGCTCACCAAAATTGAACAGTTGAAGACTGGAAAAATGTTGCCTGGTCTGATGAGTCTCGATTTCTGTTGAGACATTCAGATGTTAGAGTCAGAATTTGGCGTAAACAGAATGAGAACATGGAACCATCATGCCTTGTTACCACTGTGCAGGCTGGTGGTGGTGGTGTAATGGTGTGGGGGATGTTTTCCTGGCACACTTTAGGCCCCTTAGTGCCAATTGGGCATCGTTTAAATGCCACGGCCTACCTGAGCATTGTTTCTGACCATGTCCATCCCTTTATGGCCACCATGTACCCATCCTCTGATGGCTACTTCCACCATGTCACAAAGCTCTAATCATTTCAAATTGGTTTCTTGAACATGACAATGAGTTCACTGTACTAAAATGGCCTCCACAGTCACCAGATCTCAACCCAATAGAGCATCTTTGGGATGTGGTGGAACGGGAGATTCGCATCATGGATGTGCAGCCGACAAATCTGCGGCAACTGTGTGATGCCATCATGTCAATATGGACCAAACTCCCTGAGGAATGCTTCCAGCACCTTGTTGAATCTATGCCACGAAGAATTGAGGCAGTTCTGAAGGCAAAAGGGGGTCCAACCCATTACTAGCATGGGGTACCTAATAAAGTGGCCGGTGAGTGTATATAATATATATATAACCTCATAACCCTAGCAACCAAATTTGGAATCCAAATTTGCTTTTACCAAGTTACAGAGAATTATACAAGAACCAATCATATTGGAGAATGAATCATGTCACCTTTGGCATGCTCCTATTCTCTAACAAATGTGGTACTCTTTTTGTCGAGGGGATTCTCCGTGATTGATACGAGGTCCTCCCGGCCGTGATTAAAGCACATTCGAAGGCATTGTCTGGAGTCCGTCTGATTAATGCTGCGTGACAGGCTAAACACTAGAGATCTTACTTCCATTCCGGAGTGATTGTGTTTAGTGGAATACGAGATCTTATTCCCAAGTGATAGTGTTCAAAAGGGGGCGAAACATCGTCCGACTAGAAGCAGGTGCAGGCGCCTAGTAGAGTATAAATTTGTAGGTTTCGAAGTGAAGATGCCCGTTTAACTTAAGTCAGGTGCGCAAAGGAAAATCTACCACTGCAGCTTAATCAAGATGACTAGCTTTTAAAACGGCATGCCTACAGCTCACTAGGAGTAGAAACAGTACTAGTTTGACCTCAGTCTGATTGCTGAGGAGTTCATTCTGTTCTAGACGCTGTATCTGGCTCTTTCAGTCCTGTGAAGTCAACTGAAACAAGCATTTGTCCATGCAAGTGGCTGCCTTTATGTGAAAACACCAGCTGTTACCACATGGGTCATTCCTGTTATACAGTACATTTTCATGTCGCCATCATATTTGTTGGATAAAAAAAATAACAATTATAATTCTTAAAGATTAAATCATATTAGATTTAGTCCTGGGCAACAATTACATTTTTTAATCGCTATTAATCGCATTGTTACGCGGAAAATTGAATAATGAATTCTAAAGTAGTGTATTACGTACTTTTGATTTAAATGTACTGCTATACAAAAGTGCAATAACATGTGGTTTGCAAAAACTTTAAACAAATAGCCTAATGTACTTTTTACCAGCAGTATTCCCTTTACACAATAGCAATAAAATAACTCTTGTAAATCTCAACTTAAACATTAATGTAATCAAATCAAATATTAAACCAAAGCTATTTGCCACTGCCAGGGCATTACCTTTTATCTAGCTTGTTAAAACAAGTTACCATCAGAGTCTTGTTTTCTTGTTATTTTTCTGAACAGGTATCAACAGGTGTCTTTTATCAAGGAGCGGCAGAAACAGTCTGTGTTCAGTAGCAAGTTTCCCTGTTAGAGTGAGGTGAAGTGGTCGAGCACAAGGTGCAGCGACAAGCGGGTGCGTTCCCGTGAAACTGTCGCGGTTGTGCGCACATGCCCACCACCGAAGTGGAATTGTCTTGAACTTTTTGTACACGACGCACAGCACAAATCACTGGAAGAGAGACTGATCCTCGCTGTTTGTGAGTTTCCAGAATCTAAATAGTTATCAGGACATCAACAGGAGGGAATTCACATGGCAGAGCATCCCCGCTGGACTAAACGCAGGCCTATCAGGTAAAGTTATCTATCATTTTAATTCAAGTTAAAAAGGCTGCAGCTGAGCACTGAAGCCGTTGCCATGGTTACAACCCATAGAGCGCCTGCCGTTCACTCGCGGAGCGCTGTCTCCCTATCTGTTCACCTGAGAGAACCTGCCGAAGCCTCCCTCTACTGCTTGTTTGGGAGGGTTATTCCCTCCTGTGACCCATGGTTTGACTGTAGGCCTATGTGTATTCAGAGCCAGTGAGCAACGGACTTTCAAAATAATAATAAATAAAAAAACTCGGTTAACGTTCGATAAAAAAAAATTGTCGGCATTAATTAATAAATAACGCGTTAACGTGCCCAGCCCTAATTAGATTCCTTTATTATAATCACAAACAGACATGTGTCAGTATTCGGTAATATGGTATATTGCGGTAATGTGTGGTATTGTTATTGTGGGCACTTCAAAATACTGGATAATTCTAAGCAACTTATCCGAATTGTTTAGATTTGTAAAATTCACATTAGCTTGATTTCTATCAACCAGTTACATTTTACCTAAGTGTGCACATTGGCCTGAACAAAAAAAAAAAAAGTTCAAACAGCTATTTAGATTTTTGTATTTACTATGGTTTTAAACAAACAACTCTTTTACTTTTATTATTGTTCTTTATAGTTAAGTTCTATTAGACTTCTGAATTTTTTTCAAACATTTGTCTATACTTTGTATACATTTATTGTGTATTATTCTATTATACTTAATTATGCTCACTAGTTTTTTTTTTGTCAAGTTAGATAAATTTACTGGACTCAGTATTATATTATCAAAACTTCCAAAATGGCTATACAAATGCACACTCAAAAAGAACTTGCACTGATGCAATGAACTCTTTTTTTTCTTATTTTCCTCATGCTGAGATCTGTCTTGATGACTTTCTTGCCATAGCGTAAATAATCGAGTCAGAATTAATAATATTTGAGTGCCTGAGCTTGACCAGAGCACATTTCTGAAAGTCTTGTATATTGTTTCATAATAATACTTCCTTAAATTAGAACACAAGCACTTTTACTTCTAAAACCTATACAGAGTACAGAATGTACTGCAAAACAAGAATGAACTCATATGAACTCTAGACAAGCCAGTACAGACTACTATACAACACTCCACCCACTGTATCTGTTATTTACAGCAACAAATATTTTGTTATCTTGATCAAATGAATTATGAAAATCTGAAAAGGGGATGCTCAAGCTCATAAAAAAAAAGCATCAAAGAGGTAGAGTTATCTATTTTGCAGACTGATGGTTGAATCTGTCCAGCGGCTGATCCAGGATCACAGAAAGCTTTAGATGAAGTCATGTGCTTTACTGACACATTTAAAGAACAGGCCGCAGGACAAATAAAGCCTCGCTATTGCTTAAACACACAGGATACGGGTGTGCAACACATTAAGTAAGAGCACTAGTGGATTGTGGTGTGTGTTGCCCTTGTGTATGCATGTGTGATGTGTCTGTCATTGTGAATGTTTTGGGTGAGTGGGGTTGTACTAGCCTGGATGCCAGCCCGAACCCCGCCCACAACATTTTTTGGTCGGGCAGTTCGGTCTGGACTCGATCCATTGAGGAGTAATTATGATCGGTTCAGAATTAGTCGAGCCAATCAAATTGTCAGGGCGGGCTTTATACGATGATGGACAGATGATCTGCGGTTACGTAATCATCACGTTATCAAAGAGCGCTTGGGTTGAACTGGTTTCCCTCAAAGGTGACTGCAGCTGGAGAACTGAGATGTATAGATTCCGCTATCGCGTCTGTTGTAAAAGAAATCGACAGCGCATTAATTTTAAAAGACGAACAGAGAACTGCAATCAAGGCATTTGTCGATCGGAAAGATGTGTTTGCCGTCCTTCCTACGGGATTCGGCAAAAGTTTATTTTATCAGCTGGCTCCGATGGTCGCTAAGAAGATGGGACGCAATAAACCCTGTGGTCGTTGTGGTTTCTCCTTTGGTCGCACTCATGGAGGACCAAGTAAAAGAAGCAACACTCATTATTTTACTACTACTTCCAGCGTGCGTGCAGTTGAGTTCTGTAGTTGACAACTGTGCTATGCAACTATGTAGCTGACTTACTGCGTTGCTCTGATTGGTTGTAGGTCTAGCCAATTGAGTGCAGAGTTTGTTTTTTTTGGTTCGGTTAAGACACGCCTCATAATCAAAGCCCTATGGGGCAGTATCAGACTCACATTCTGACTAGAATATGAGTATGACGAAGTCAGGCTAGGGTTGTACACTGATGTAACAACAATATCCCATAATGCACTTCTGTTGAAATGACACAGGAGAAGCAAGTGCCAGGGAAATCAAAGCTCATTAAATCGGAGTTACCACCTGAAGGCACATCTGAGAGCGAGAGACAGTAGAGCTTCACTCAATTTGCTGAGGCTGATTAAATGCAAGCAAGCTAACGGACCAAACGAATGAGATGCAGACAGAGGAAAGGTGCTCTCTCTGCCTCTCAGGTCTATCTGTCGGATCTGTACAGGCAAACCTCAAAGGAAGTCCTGAGTTCCTGACGCTCACATTTAATCATCCGCACCAACAGTCGCCTCAGGCAAAGCCACAGGACGCCTCTCACATTTACTGAACGAGAACAACACAGCGGCCACAGTGACAACACTGTATGTTGGATTGTTGGATCCTTTCCAACTCTAGTGCAGTGTTGTTATTGTTAACTAAAACTATTAAAATTGCAAAACAAATGAATTGCAATCAAAGAAAATATTTAATCTAAAAATAAATCTCATAAAATGTATTTAAATAGCTGACTAATTAAAAATCTGCCTTTTACTAACCCTAATGTCATTACAAACCCTAAATTCTTCCATAATAAACAACATGTAATAATTCCATAAATATAAATATGGTGCCATCAGGTTTAACATCAAAACACCAAATGCTATTGATAAACACTTCTGACACTAAATCAAAGTAAGTGTACTACCTCCAGAGAACAACATTAAACTCATCATGAAAATGACAATTCTTCTTTTTTTTAAGAAATATTGCAGTATTTATTATATTATAAGTGATTTATCTGGGCACTGCACATCATACTTTTTTTTTTAATTCATGTGGCCCCATAACCTCTAATCAAAGTATGTTCTCTTCTCTGATGACGTGTTTACGGGCACAAGGGCGGGACAATCTGTCATTCACATGACATCACAGCAACAACAAACCACAACCATCCAATCAATTACCACTGGAAAAAATCCTGTCCAGTCCTACATTTCTTCTTGTTCGAGAAGCGGTTTCACTTGGATATACGTCACGCAACTTCCGTTTCATGCCGACTTTAATTCAAAGTTGTCTTATTTCCTGTCTTACAGTAGATGTGTCAGTGGTCTGCAGAGCAATGAATGTGTTGTAACAGAGACCAGCTTACTGACTGAGCTCACCAATGGGGATGGAGGAGATTTGTGTGTACACGTCTAGCATTCGGTTACCGTCCACGTCCACCAGGTAGTTCCCCCTGCTTTCCTCATAGTTGCAAAAAAAATGAATCGCTCCAACATTCTGCAAACCAAGAGAGAAGTAGAGTTGAATGTAGCTATTAAAGTGATTTGTGATTCGTCTGTACACCTGATTTTGTTTTTCTTGGCAGAGCTTCAGCTTCATGTCAGTGAATGGCTAAAAAGGAACCCGCAAGCTCTCACACCAGCTGTACACGAATCCAACGAGCGTTCTGTGTAGGCTGCCATCTTGTGGCGACGCCATTACTGAGCTGTTAACGGTATGTAAACAAACCTCCGTGATAACGCACCCTCGATGACAGCTACAGCCAGGCAGAATGACTTGTTGGGTTGATGATGTTAGACAGTGGCCTCCAGTCACAGATAAAGGTACAAACGATCTTACAGATTATTTATGAAAATAGCTTGGCAAGCCAGCTAGGCTAACGTTAGCTAACGAGGAAACTATAAAAACATCTGTCCATTTGGCAACAATAAATAAATGAATGACATCAAATAAACGAATTCATGTTTTTCATTTGTGTCCATTATTTATCTAATTTTCACATTGCAAAAGGCAAGGGTAAGGTACAGCTAGAAAGTATACATAATATCGACCAATTAGTGTTTTTAAACCATGGAAAGAGGTCAATATAACAGCAGGAGAACAATTATGTCACATAACGTTACATTTAGCTCAGGAAAGCCATTTAATGACCATAGCATGTTAATTGAATAGAAAAAATAGCTAGAGAGGAGATTTTGCTGAGCACTATATTACATATTTATTATATTTTTTACTTATTTCATTAAATAATTGTTATTATAACAAAAACCGCATTATATTTAATTTAATTTGTTATTTTAATTTGTTATTTAAAAAAAATTCTGTCACAGTCAAGCAAATCAAACATTAACAACAGACATAACAGTAATGTTACTCACGTTACTGCCCCAATGCGCCCTTTACTGCCGCCATTGAAACAATTTAAAACGGAACATGTTTTCCCACTCAACATTATAAAAGTTGTAACGTTAGTGACAGTCGTAAATCGCGGGCTGTTTATTCCAGTGGACGCAAGTTGCAACTAAAACAATAGGAGGCAATGGCGCAACGCTACCCAGCAACAGCTCAGTTATGGCGCCCGCTTACTTCCGGTAGTTTCGCCGGATTCGTCTATTTGCACTGATGTCACGCATCATGTATAAGTGGTGATTGTACAACTAAATGGTTATTGGCACAATAATTTATAAAATAGAAATATAAAAAGTGAACATCAGGGAAAAAAAATTTTATATACAGTATATATATATATATATATATATATATATATATGGCCTTTAATGAATTCACATGTACTGTACAACTGAAAAAGCAGATGTCAAGATTCAGACTGTGACCCATTACCACAAAATTGTGAGCAACGGTGCTTTATCTAATGAAATTGGCTTTTCCGTCTCCGTGGCTTTGAACCTGATGCAGCATCTATTTTTAGCACGTCTCATGAATAGGTTATGACACTTCTTGTGTCTACTTATTGTGCATGGGAGACAGACAGCGACCAACAGACAGGCACAGGAGCTGCGGCGAAGCGAATCTGTGATATTAGCTTCATCGATGCCTGTCAGCTCACATCTATCTACTCATCCACAGCAAAGCGGTCAAAAGATGACTGTGACTGCTCTCAAGAAGCTGGACCAGACAGCAGATAAATTACTGCTTGAAATACATTCATCACTCAATACGCTGAAAACATCCAGACAGGCTGAAATATGGCTGGACGTCACATCAGAAGTGACATTGCTGATCTAGGGCAGTCATACTTTAGCTTTACTGCTGTTAATCATATCGTTTTGTTTTGAATGGCACTGTCTGAAAAAGTGACTCATATACTTAAATCATTATCTAAGTACAAACTAAGAGAACTGCACCTTATGTGATTGTACATGGAGATATTTAAAAACCAGTGTCAGAGTATGGAAGACTTCTATCTAATTGCATAACGCAATTTTAAGGTACAGTTATGCATGTATAAACTGAGCCAACGCCAAAGTTTGTCTCACCTGAATCTCTCCAAGTTGTCTCATCAGCTCCTGTTGATTGAGAGAAATTAATCTATTAGTCATTCTGCTCTGCAGAGATATCAAAATATATTTCTGTCAGCTTTAATCACAAAAAGATTGGACACACATAATTTTTCTTATGATTTTAATGCTTAATTATATATATAATTTTAAGATTTGGGGGAAAAATTAATAAGGAAGCGTGTCCAAATTTTTGACAGCATTTTTTAAAGTCTGCAGTAAAATATCAGTAGAAGCAACATTTTGAAAATCTGTTATTTTACTGCAGAGACATATCACAAAACAATCTGGTGATAAATCTCATGGTAAAAGAGTAAAAATGCTGAGACTGAACCTGGGACCTTGGACCTGGCACAGCGGTCTTCATGGATGGGGTGTCATATTCAAACTCTGAAACAGTTTTTGTGGCAGTTTTGCTTACATAACTGGAACCTAACACCACAAAAACAGAATAAAAACTTAAATAAGACTATATACTTTAATAATTTCAGTCACTCTTACTATGCAGTAGGCTACATATTTCCTATAGTTACGTAATATGTTGGATGAGATTTTAAATTCAGTTTCTAAAAATGGAAATCATATTACAAGAAGAAAATTAATATCACATTTAGTTGAACATGGGAATTAATTTGATATAATTTTACTATTTTAATTTGAGCGCATGTTACCATTTATTCCATAACCACGAGTGTTGTGCACTAACTGTTTTAATTATTAATTTCTTGCTGTTGTGTAAATTATCAAATCTGGTCCCCTTTTATAGAAATTCACTTTCATAAAAAAGTTACAAAACGTGCTGCATAACAGGAAAGAGTCATTCATTCATCCTTTAATTTCCTCTTGAATTATGAAAGGTTGCCTCAGTTTCAGTGAAGATAACTTCCTTAATTGCAATGCTAAGCATTTTAAGGAAGTTTATCTGACATCTCAAAGTAATTAACCAACTGAACACTGTAAGAACTTTTGTACTTTTGTAGTATATCTGAACAGTGGCCAGCAAATACATATAAACAGCCACAAAATGCCTTTTAGCCATATTTGAGCAGTAGTACCCATGTGCACTTGACGGGCTACATAAGTTTACAGAATTGAACTCATAACTGAGGTACTGATTAATGTAGGACGCTGACAGGATTGGGGCAATGTGACCAGACACTGAAGGACAAGACACAAACAACTTCTCTACACATGCAGAATTCACCAGCCAAAGCTGGACAGAACCAGATCCCAGTAACTAATTTACATGGTTAAGTAACTTTGAACTGTGTCCCTCTCGACATCTGGCTCTATATCCAAACATCATTATCATTTTAAAGGAAGCCTCTCACTTACTAAGCCAAGCATGGAGTTTAATCACTCTGATAAAGTCTCTGTGACAGCTACAGCTCTTTTTGATGGTCACTAGTAGGTTGAGAACATTATAGTTAAACAAGTTTTTAAGACTGGAGGGTATCGTAGTCTTCCGTCTCAGCATGTTTTTTTTGTTTTTTTACCTGGAACGGCGAGACGCAAGTTTTGCTGAAGGGAGACGGCCAGCTGCCGGGTCAGGAGTGAGGAAGCCATGTGTAGTACTCACTAAGGCAGAGATGAAGAGCAAGAGAGAGAGAGAGAGAGAGAGACAGCACACTGCCTGCCTTTCACCTTCCTTTTACTTCACCTGGGGAAAAAACAATGAAAGAGATAGGTTACAGGGAGTGGGAGCCCGATATAGGTCATTGAAATGTCACAATCAAATACGTCCTGGAGGATAATAATCTGCAGGTCAGAGGAGAAATAATATCCACAATTTTATGTTATCAAGGAATTTCCTTGATCTTACATATAGTTGTACAGTTATACATGTATTGTTTAAACATACTATTATACAGACTATTCATTTTGTTAAACAGAAACTACAAAAAACAGTTTGTTCAGAAATTTTTGTGTTTGTGATATTAGAATCATGAACACAAAGATTTTACCACACACATTTACAGATCACTGTTTGCCATTGGTCGGACAAACAGATAGTCCTGCCACAAACTTGCACCATTGGATTTAATAATTGTACTACATTGGCCTGGTCGGGAAGCTCAAACAAGTGTCATTTCTGTTTTATTATATTATATTTTTTGTTTTATTTATATTTTTAATTCGCTTTTATTTTTATACATTTAGTTTTCATGTTCATTTAGTTTATTTTTTAGTAATTTCATTATGTGCTTTTGTCATTTTATTAGATTTTAAAACGCTGTATTATGCTGCCAGGCCAGTAGTTGGCGATGTCACTTTGTAAAAATACACTACGCTCCTGTAGACTGAACACGCGATACGCATCTGCTTTCAAACAAGTGGGTAATCCACCAGCCGGAAACTGAAGCTTCGCTTGGGGGCCGCCATTGTAGCAGAACTTCACCTGCTGTTAGCATTCCATTGACTCCCATTCATTTTGGCGTCACTTTGACAGCGAATATCTTTACATCTGAGGCGTCCAAAGACTCCATTTGTCCATTATTTATTTCTAAAGAAACACAACAATGTATAAAAGGCTCCATTACTTTGTATCTTACGTTATGGCCCTGCAGAAGCCGTTTTTGTAAAAATAGGCTGACGATTGCGTCATAACCACGCGACTCTCTGTCGCACAGTAGAGAAATTACCGTATAGACAGGAGGAGAAGCTCGCAGGCAATCAGGGGGACGTGGAGGCATAAAGTCAAGGGAGAAGCCCATAGAGAGTCATAAAGTTGATCCCGCTGCTAGCTCATGGACAGCTAATACTCACGATCTCCGGCTCTGCAAGATTCGGAAGGGAATGATTCAGATTCCTCTTGGCACAGCTACTAGAAGACGTACAACTGTCAGACAGGTTGCTCACGTCACATCTCCGTCGTCAAGCTCAGTTTGAGCCTGCGCAGTTCACTCGGCCATCAGGAAGTGAGTGCTTCTATTGGGCTTCCCTTTACTCCATTGAAATCAAGGGGGTCACTGTGTCCATTTCTTTTACTGTCTATGCTTTCAAATGGTGCTTGAAAGTGACTCCCACACCTTATTGGACTGTTCTTTGATACTTTTTTGACCATTCTAGTTGGTTGCAATCATTTAAAGAAACATGCACTGAACATGGGGGCCTTAAGAAAACTTTCCGTTGCCCTGTTCTTTAGAGGGTTAATCGTCCATCACAATGAGTAAAACCAAAGAATATAGTTCTGATGTGCAGCAAAAGATTGCTGAGCTTCACAAAATAGAAAATAGCTAAAGCATTGAAAATGTCCATTTCCACCATCAGGGCAATAATTAAGAAGTTCCAATCAACTAAAGATGTTACGAATCTGCCAGGAAGAGGACGTGTGTCTATATAGTCTTAATGCACAGCGAGGAGGGAAGTTTCACAGATAGAGAATTGCAGATTAGTTTAGTCTCGGGGTCACAAAGCCAAAAAAATAAAATAAATAATCAAACAGCACCTCACATGCTGTTTGGGAGAGTAAAAATAAATCCTCCTCGCTCATCCAAAAAAAAAAAAAAAGCCACCATATTCAGTCGCCAGACACGACTGGAACTTCAAATGGGACAGGTTTCTATGGGCAGATGAAAAAAAAGAAAAAAAAAGAAAAAAAAGAAAAACGTTTTGGCAGCAAACAGGGATAAAAAGTACCCCATGCCCATGGATAATTATAGCGCTGCATCTTTAATGTTGTGGGTCTATTTTTTCCTGGAGGTTCTGGACATCTTGTTCAGATACATGGTATCATGGATTTTAGAGATTCTGTATGGAGGAATGGTCTCTGATCTCTTGTCAGGTGTTCTCCAAACTCATCAGGCATTATAGGAGAAGACTCAGAGCTGTTATCTTGGCAAAGGGAGATTGCAAAAAGTATTTAATAAAAGGGTGTCAATAATTATGGCATTTATTACATAATGTGATTTACCCCCCATTTTTTAATTCTTTTACTTCAATGAAAGGTTAGATTTTTGAGAATGTTTGAATCAAAGATCAAAAGGATGAACAAAGCAGATTTATTTTTACAGCCATCTTTGATCATATTTACCAGGGGTGCCAATAATTCTGACCACAACTGTATATTTATATTTTATTTTATTTCAGTTAACAGAAATGTTTTAATAGTCCTTGTTTTAGTTCAGTTTAGTTTTAGTTCACGATGGCTTTAGTTTAACCCTGACTCAAACAAACTGAGGAATATTCAGAAAGCACCGCAGAGACCCCAATTTTCAGAGAAATCAACCTACAAACAGCTTGTCTCTGAAAATAGTTGCATATCTATTTTTTTATCAGAAACTGATTAACAAACATATTGGTGCAAATCTTACAGTCTGCAGTGTGACAGTCCTGGGATCATGCTTCAGCAGCACCACAGACAGTTCCTCTCTCCTTGAGCAGCAGGTTCAGCCATGCCCATCAATCCTGTCCTACAACAGTGGTCCTGACAGTTGGCCCTCATGCCACTTAATTAAAGCATGGTTGATTGGTGTTAATTACAACATGGCTTAGACCCTCACCAGCCCTCAGATGATCTTTTTGCAACTGCAGAACCATCACAGCCGTTTCTTGGGACGGAGACAAGTGACTAACGGCGTTACTTTCGAGTACCGCTAAACCTTCCCAACAGGCACAGGGTTCAGGGAACTCGAGCACCACTCGGTCACACTTTGACGTTAAGATTAATTGGGAAGAATAGTCCTGCCTAAGGGAAAAGCTGAAGCCTGAGGGAATCCCGACATATCTTCAGCTATTATAATGAGTGAGCATATGCTTAGGGAAGGAACAGCAAGGTGACATTATGGAATTATTATGCACAAAATGTTCTTAACTGGAACAAACACCATGTTTATGAAGCAATATCATTCCTGCTCAGTTTAAATGTCATAGGCATATGTTTCTGTCATGTTTCTAGTCTGGACATTGAAAGCCTGTGAATCAGTCTTTCAGCTCTATTGAAAGGAAACTAGTCTTATGCGTTTGCTTGTCCAAAGGAATCAATTCAGAGGGGAGACCCATAGCATCTTTATTCATGCGCAGGAGAAGAGAAGCAGAAAGTGCATCTCTGTTGTGCTATAGGACGCTTACACAATTGAGGCGGCAGAAGCAAGAAAAATCCAGACACTCCGTCTCTCAGAAGCACTCCAACCAGACGGCTCTTCGACCGGATAGAACCGGTTCTGAAAATGTGTGTTACACAAGCCTGTTGTCATGCGCCTGTGAGGATGCAGCAAGCAAAATGGGTTAACTCCTTCTCCAGAGCGTCGGCGCACTGAAGCGTTTTTTTTTTTTATTTAGTTCAAATATACTATCAGATTTAATGTTATACCTTGAAAAACTATACATCATTAAAAAGATATAAGACTCAAGATTCAGTATTTGACCACTATTGTATTCTGAGAAACTTATAGTGACAGTTATGTCTTAATTTGTGTCAGGAGTTATGAAATGAAAAAAACGAGTCGATACCTTTAATATGAATTATGAGCGTCAGCTGGTCCATTCATAAAAAACACTCCGTGCTGTCGTCATGATAGCGATTCACAAAACAACGTCCCTGAGGGCTTTTAGCTCAACAATGTGCAGATGTGGAGAAATATTGATATATTCTCATAGATTCACATCATATTTCTATAGACAGGAATAATATTTATTGAATTTATACCCAAATGCGTCGATGTAATCATAATGATCGCTTCTTACTGAGATGTGCTGTGTTTTCCATTCATACCAATAGCATGGGGGCGCTATTATGTCCAATAAAAGTCCATATATGTATCATGAAGAAGACCCATAGTCATGTGACATTCCAGGACGTCACTGAGTGATACAGAAAGTACAGAGATCGCTGTAACATGCAGATAAAGATGTTTTGAAGACAATAAACATGATTGCAATGATATTTGAGTTACCTGTGTTCTTCAAGCCATGCCAGGTATTTCATAATAATAGATTATATTTATAATGTAATGCTAATCGATATAGATTTCATCATCGTTCAGAACACTAAATAATACATTTTCTGTCTGATTTTTTTTTTATCTGAAGCCAAGTTAGATCACAGAAGATTATTTAAAACACTAGACTTGCGTTATATAGTGAGTTTGGAGCGCAAACATAGTTTTAATCTCATAAATGGTCGTGTATTGATGGTGTGCTAAGCTAACATGCTAGCGAGCCCAGGCGCACCTGCCACGAGCAGTTATTGTTTTATGATTTTTTTCTAAATAGGAATGCTTACTGAAATGATTCAGTGCATTTGATACCAGTTTCAAATATTTAGTGAGAACTTTGATAAAAGAAATTAGGGTTTGAAACCCTATGAATAGCTTGTGAATAGCCAGTCGTTAGTAGCTATAATGCAGACAAAAGAAATGCATATTTAGAGCCATAATAACCAGTCTGGAGAGGTGTAAATGTGTGCAGGGGAGACTGAGACTGAATGGGGCACCACAAAACAATAGAGACAATAGACTGAATAGATGACTCAGAAGATGACTAAACATCAGTTTGCTAATAGAGTCTAATCAAAATAAAGTAATTTGACATGATCTTGAAAAACATTTAACTAAATACAGAGCTTTATACTTATCATTTTCAGATTTTAAATATAAAATGGTCAGACATGTGGCTTTAGCTGCAGTGCATTTCTAGATTGCTCCAGGGCCAACTTCAATT